ATATTGCACATTGAATTATACTTGCACATAATCGGCGTTAGCGCGTGATCCGCGTGTGCGTGTTTTACGGATATTTAAATTATATTCCTTTGTTAGTACCAAAAAAAGGAGAGTTAGTCAGGCGGATAGGTATGTTAACATAGGCGGCTAATAATCAATCTTTGTTGTCTAATAACAAAACACGTAAAAAACAAGAAAACACGCATAATATTACTGTTACTACTAGTACTGCTAGTAGTATGAATAGTACGTGACTAATCAAGAAAATGAAATGGAAACTAAGAAGCAATAAAAGAACCAGATTCTGATGCTGAAACTGAAGAAGACGAAGATGAATATTCTCTGCATGATATAGACTGAAGAATATTCTGAAGATATGGAAGAACTGCTTCAAGGAGACTGATTTTTTAAAATAACCGTATTATCGTCGGTATTGTTATAAGCTATTAAACAAATTAATCTGAGTTTCGAAAAGATCTTCATTACCGTACTAGTGTGATGTGGTAATGAATCCATTACCCCACTATTATATAGAACAAAAAATGACATAAATTGACACAGAATTTATTTATTTGAACTATAATAACCACAACATTTATTCTTTATATAAATGACCAACACGTATATTGATCACTTTGTTAAAGCTATAAATAATTTGACTTATTTTAAATTTTACATCAAATTTTCTGCCATTCGTACTCTTAATTTGTCTTGCGCATAATAATAAAATTGAAACTTACTATGTTCACCGACGAAGATAAAATATTGAATAACACACGTTTGACTAATAGCTTTACGAATCTTGTTTGATAGCCACAGAACTCACTCATCTTCTCATTCTGGCAATCAAACTAGTTTCGTTAAAAATGCCATAATCAAATTTGTATCGTTAATAATTATATCAGTATTTATTATTTGCAATACCTGAAAAATATGTTTATTTTGCTGTTTTTATTTTTCTAGATTTTTAATGGTTGCAAAACTCTACCTGAAAATGTTTTTATTTTGATGCTTTCTATAGTTTAAATAAACCATTTTAATTAATACTTCATGTCTACAATGTAATTTTCTGTAGTAATATATTACGTACGTGCATTGAAAATTATCGAAGATTCAGGGCATGAAATCATGTTGCCTAGAAACTGCTTGAGATAATTTTTCAGTCAAATCACATCAAAATGAACGAATGCGGTTTCTTAAAGGCAACACGCATTGAATGCTGAATTTTCAGATTATTTTTAATGCACGACATGTATTTATTAATCTATTTCCAGAACAAAACATAGAAGAAGAAGAAGTCTGTTTTTATTATTAACAGAATTAACAATTCAAATTATTACAATCATGGCTGGGTGTACTTTTATTTCCGTGTCACAATTTTTAAGCGGATTTATTTAAAAATCGAATTTTAAAATTATTATTTTTTTTAGAGAAAAACCTCAAAATATTTAAAAATATGTAATTAATTATGTTCCTCTTGCTTCTATAAGCATGCTATCTTCACATGAAAAGAAAAAGAACGAATAAATCTTCGATTTTTATATTGATTCAACTGACGTTTTAAGATGTCAAGCCCAGTGCAATTTTCCCTGTAATTTTATGTAAAATTTTCACTTGTAATGCAATTTTCGCTGAAAGTTTGTTGTTATGGGTCCAAATTTTTTAAATCTTGCTATTTCTTTGGTTCTTATAATGTGAGGGAAATATGCACTATTATAAATGTGTGCATATATGCTCATTAATGCGCAAATATTCGCCTGAAAATGCTCGAAAAATAAATGCTCGGTCATTTTACATCACTAGATTTTGGACATTACAGGAAAAATCACCCGTCAAAAGTATGAGATAAGATATTATTTATTTTGTATTTTATATCATTTTTGCAGCAAAGGTGTAAATAATCTTTGTTGAAAGTATTGATCTGTTTGCACACGAGATGATTCCCCCACTGACATTCTCATAATGACTACCTGAGATGCAGTCTTTGTATTATTTAGTCTCATTACAAGTTCTTGAACGTTTGCCAGTGAATCCCACTTCGCCCAATGCCTCGAAATCTTTACTGTCTGCAAAAAGTGTACAACATTCAGATGTACTGATGCCTTCTAAGTCACTTGTATACAGTAAAAAAGAGAACTGGGCCAAGTACAGACCCTTGTGGAAGTTTACAACTTACATTAATTAGGGTAATTCTCTAATGAATGACTGTCAGATGAAAAATTATCCCAAAAAAAATTTTATTGTTCTAATCGAAACCAGGTTTCACAACTATAAACAGCGAAATTATACCGAGTGTTTATCTGGATTATGTCAAAATAAAATGGTGAGATGTATGTCCGAGAGATGTTAAAATGGAAAAAGGGAAGCAATAAAACAAAAATTATGTACGTGAGGGACCCTATGGATGTGCAGTTAATGAGACACTCACGATTACCATACCAAAGATGCTCCGCACTACTCTGCAACGGTACATTTTCGGTCACTGCACGGTACGTGATTATTGTTACAATACTTCCGTGGAGTAAAGGCTGCCATGTTCACACTGCCATAATTCAACAATTATCAGCCACAAGGCTCGGAATATTACACATCTTCGGGGTTTAACCACAAGAATAAGTAACAATTATTCTTGTGGTTTAACACTGAACTGATGTCTCATATCAACTATGCGCATTTGCTGCAAAGCTATTGCGCTTGCTAGATTATCATCCTCGCTTCAGGCCAATTACTTCATAGGCGCCACATTGGGAGTTAGGATACAAAAATATGGAATTAATTTGCTCGGATCGCATTTATTTATTACAGGTGGTTTTTTACATGGCGGACTAACATTACCATTTCGCCTAGGTCAGACAGAACACCCTGTATATTGAAATTATTTTTTATTCCCCTTGTTTCTGAATTTTTGATATTTTTAATTTTTATGTATTTTTTTTAAGTTAGTTTAGTAGTTGAATAATAATTGGATGGTTTTACAAAATAAATATGTCATCAGATTCAATTGACGTTTATTTTAAAAACAAAAAGAAATCAGTGAAATCTCTAGCATATTATATATATATTTTTCATGTGCTTACTGTACCATTTCCATCCACTTTTATTTAAATTAAATTGGTATCCTTTATAAGGATAATTTAGTCTAGCATATCTCGCTATATATAAAGAAGCACCGTTAGCAACAGAAGTTTAGTTTAAAATAAATTCTATTTCGTGTACTCGGTTTATAGTTTTACAAAAGTTGTGTCCAGCTCCAGTCTATTTCCATTAAGGCGCATTATCTTTTAATTCTAAAAGCTCCAAGGTACTGATTCATGCTACACTTGGGTATGTATTTAGAGCGGTTTAAATTGTCCTCGCTTAAACTTGCATCAAAACTCAAATAGTGTGTTTGTCGATACGTTCATTAAAGTTATAATTATTCGAAATTTCAACTCGTGGTAGCGAAAGCTCTGATGTAAAATGTAGAACATGTTTTTTTGTAGTTATCGTACAAGCAGTTTTAACTTGCATTAACTTCAGAGTTCAGATGTGGTTGATGTATTATTGTTGTAAATCTGTTTTAATCGACTCGATGGTGTGAAGGATCCCCTTGTTCTTTAAGGACACCCACAACAATTGGGGGGTCGGTATAATAGGCTTCATGCACAAAATATATAATTTTGGCATTTTTGGAATCTTTACTTCATACAAAAGACAGGATTTTTTTCCTTTTACCAAAGTTATTCAACATTAGAGTTTGAATTATTTTATTACGCGCGCAAACACTCGAAGTCGGTGCTGTGACGTCACAGGACCTTAGTTCTAGTCATCTAGTACAGAAAGCAGGCAAACAAAGCATGTTGTTAAATGTAAAGAAGTAGTGTTATTTGTTATTTCTATTGCGAAATTTTAAGTGAAGTAGTAATAATAATCAATTCTTCTAAATTATCCTCATATTTCTGGTACATCGTACCGATATGTGAAAATACTTCAATAAAACCGCCAGAAAAAAACTTTTGTCCAAGTTCCAAGAAACGGAAAAATTAAAGGTGGTTAAACGGGACCCATAGAAATTTTCGAAAACAAGTTGTGTTTATGCATGCATGGATCTTTCTGATGTGAGTAATTAAAAAAGTAATAATGTTAAAAATAAATATGCAAAGGCAATAAAAAATAATGTGTAAAGTATATGGTATACGGTAACAATAGGGATACTGCGTTTTGAACGATTTTTTCTCTTTTTTTATGTTATTTTGAGGCACTAACGAAGGATTTTGTGTGAGCCTACTGGGTGTTATTGAAAATCGCCTAACAGAGTTGTCAATTATCCCTTTTGCGGCGAAACTCATTTTTAATAAATATTATTTAATAGATTTCAATTGCAAACTAACAATTTTTACTTGAAAACGATAAAGACATTCAAAAATATTTTTTTCTAAAAGTACATACATACAGTGTGTATATAAAATTCTTACACACATTGTCTGAATGTTGTTTGTGGCATTTTCTAAATTTTCATTTTTCTTTTTTGGGAACTACTACCACATAAATAATTCCTCGTTATTTGAAAAGTATAGTTAACTACCCAGTATGTTACTGGAAAAATAAACCTCTGCGCTTGTGAATTTATGTCAAAAGATTAGTCAAAGGGTGTTTTCTGACAACTAGTATGAGACACAAAAATATAATATAATTCCTTAACGTTTCGGAAAACGAATCTGTTACCTTTTTCAAAGTTATTTACCCTTTTTAACACGCTTTTATTAGCTTCACCTGTATGTTTGCTTGTTTGTTTGTTTGCTTGTTTGCTTGTTTGTTTGTAACCGACTCTTTGGACTCGATTTTAACCCACTTTAAACGGACAGATTTAATTGAAACTTTGTACACTTATTAAGAACCGGTAACAATACAATAATTTGATAAGTTTATATCATTATCCTGTTCAGGATCGCCAATCCTTTCCTCACGTATCCCTGCGTGAAAGCAAAGGCTTAATATGTCAGTAGATTCCATAATTGTTAATTAGCCCGGTGGTCGAGTGGGTTAAGACAGTCGACGCGAAACGACAGACTCCTCTGGCGTGAGTTCGAATCTCACGGCTGAAATAAAATTTTTTTTTTTTTTCAGAAATATCTGTTGGATCGTAATATGTTATAATATCAGCATCAATAAGCAATATAAATATAGTTTAAAACAACTAAAAAAACACGCTTTCATAGCACATCAAACTAAAAAGTTAAAAATAAATATAGTTTAAAAAAACTAAAAAACACGCTTTTAAAGCACATCAAACTAAAAAGTGAAAAATAATTATTAATATAAACTGAAAATAATAATGAACGAAAAATACTAGTATTATTGTGAAAAAAGCGTGGGGTGCTCGATATACGAAAAATATTGCACAAAGCACCCCACGCTTTTTTCACAATAATACTAGTATTTTTCGTTCATTATTATTTTCAGTTTATATTAATAATTATTTTTCACTTTTTAGTTTGATGTGCTTTAAAAGCGTGTTTTTTAGTTTTTTTAAACTATATTTATTTAGAATATGCCATGCATGAAACTTGACACATATATTATTTATTTATGTAATATCCATAGATACTTACATAGATCTGTTTATCCTTAAAAATTATAGAATACTAATTTTGTTCAATTCTTCTTTTAACATCGATAACCACGTTGTACCAAAATCTACAGAGCAATGGAATAAATATTTTTCTTCATTCAATAATATTATCGCCAATTCTTTAATTACTTCCTCACCTCTCAAAGTGAGGAAGTTATGTATTCGTGAAAAAAAATTTGAAAATTTTTATTGCATTTCTGGACGAAACTCGACGAATTATGACTTTTTGAAGCGTCAAAAATTACTTTTATTATAAACTCCACCACACATCGCGTTTTACTATGGTGAGGAAGTTCTGATCCCCAAGTAATTGGCAGCAGTTTTTTTCTTTTTTTGCTGTCGGCTTCTTCCATTAAAATGTTGTCCGAATCCCAGTTTATTCGATGTTCATTTTCCCAAGCATGTTCGCAAATTTTCGATTTCTCAATTTTTCCGTTTCTAATATAAGTTTTATACTCACCTAACCTTACACTGAGGGGCCTGGATGACTCTCTCACATAATGTTTATTACACATACAAGGAATACTGTAAATATAGTTTTTTGAATTTTGCTCACAATTTACCGGTTTTGTTTTTGTTAAAATGGATCTCAAAATCTTATTCGTTTGAAGTACTGTTCTAATATGAAACTTATCTCCGACACTATGTAGTTTTTTTGATAAAACTTGTATGTAAGGAATTATTGTTGTAAATTGGTATTCAAGTTTTTGTTGTACTGGATTATTAAGTCTATTCTCAATATTTATTAGAGTCCTATTAACAAAAAATTCGGGATAATCATTATTTACTTTGATACATTTTTCCTCATTATTTAAGATTTGATCATTAGATGAAATTATTTTTGCCCTGTAATACAAACATTTACCAACACCCTTTTTAACATTAATTGCCTGGTTAGATTTAAAATTTAAATATCTATTAGTACGAGTTATTTTTCTGTATGTAATAGTTTTAAATGTATTATAAATTTTTTTAACCAAAATATCAAAGAAGGGTAAATCATTATTACTCGCTACTTCCAACGTGAATTTAATGGATGGTTTTTTATCATTAATATTTTCTAAAAAAATATGTAATAACTCAATATTAGAAGACCAAATTGCAAAAATATCGTCGACATATCTCCACCAAATAGTCGGTTTATATACAGGGTGGGCAAATTTCTATGTTTGTATAGGGTAACTCGGTAACTGTAAGAGATACAAAAAAATGGAAGACACATTCTCTATCTCTTTTTTTAAGACAAATTCACTGGCGAAAATAAAAATTAGTTTTTGAATTATAAGCAAAAGTTCGATTTTTCGACTTTTAGACACATGTCAATACCTTGGTTTATTGTAAAGTTATGTTATATATTTTTTCTGTAGAATATAGCTGCGTCGAAAAAATTTAAAAAAAAAGTGCAATTTCGAGTTATAAAGTTGAATTTTTTTAAATGGGAATCATAGTTGGTTATGGTTTAGTTAAAAAGGAAATTTTTTTCTCTACAAACTATATATCATATATGAAGTCGCTTTTGATGCGTAAGTATTTAATAGCGACAATAATCTTTTAGTAGATTACTTTCTACGTTTTTTATATTTATTCCAAGTAGGCGTGTATCATCTACGATAGTGTTTATCCGTTTTCAGTACTGCATATTAATAATTTGGTTTCCGTCATAATTGCACCACATTTAATCGTAAAAGTGAAGATGTCTTACGAAAATTACAAGAAATATGATATGCTAGATTGTTTTATTGAAAGCAATAACAATTGTGATATTGCATCCGAAATATATTTCAATCGCTATCCAGAAAGAAGACAACCTAATAAAGCTATATTTAAGAAGTTGAAAGAAAATCTCGTTTATTGTGGGTCCTTCAACAAGCCAAGTGCAAAAAATTACAATATTGAAGATGAAAAAACTTCTATAACTGTAATTGGAATGGCGGTTGCAAATTCTTCAATTTCAAGTCGTCAAAATGAAGCTAATTAGATTTTAAGACGTCGAGCTTTGAGTATTTTGAATACACACAAATTCAGGCCTTATACAATAAGGTAACAGCATCACCTGCAACCAACTCATCTTCAGCGACGCGCGACGATTGGAGTTTTGCATATGGTATCGTCAAAAAAGTCAACAAGATCCATTCTTCTCTAAAAATGTAGTTTGATCAGATGAAGGCTACATCAGCAGTGCAGGAATTTTCAGCAGGCATAACGAGCACTATTGGTCTGATATGAACCCTCACCGTGTTGACGTGCAATTTCAGGGACGCTTTGACCTCAGTGTTTGTTGTGCTCTATGTGGCAATCTTGTTTTAACATATCACATATATCAAGAAAATCTTAATGGCCAAAGGTACTACGAAATCTTAAACCAGAAAATTATTGAGGAATTTATGGACAATCTACCCTATATTGAGCCAAGAAATCAGTTCTTCCAACAAGATAATGCACCACCTCATAATATCAGGACCATTTCAGAATTATTAAATACCAATTTTGCAAATAACTGGAAGGGAAGTAACGGACCAGTGAGGTGGTCACCACGATCACTTGACTTAACGCCACTGGAGTTTTTTTGGGGCTACATTAAAGACAAATTATATAAGAAAACCAGTACCGACATAAATGAACTCAGCCAAAATTTTATAGACTGTGTAAATTCCATTTCAAATCTTCATATTTATAATGCAGTTCAAAGTGTTATGAGAAGGTGTAATTTATGTATCGAACATAATAGATATCAGTTTGAACATTTACTTTAATTTGAATTTTTATTTTTTAATTGTTATGTATTATAAAATTAGATATAAATATCTGATTTATTGGTCTTGGCTTGTGGAAGGACCCACAATTAATAAGATTTTCTTTTAACCTCTTAAAAATAGCTTTATTAGGTTGTCTTCTTTCTGGATAGCAATTGAAATATATTTCAGATGCAATATCACAATTGTTATTTATTTATTTATTTATTTCAGATACACCATCCAACAGTATTTGCAAACTAATTATAGGATGGGAATACAGCATAATTAACAAAAAAAAAAAAAGTAATAATAATAATTACAAACAAAAAATAAAAAATAAGAATATTAATTACAAAAAAAAAGAAAAATAAATTGGCAATTGAAAATTGACAGTTATTACAATGCATTTGCAGCAGCAAAAAAAGAAATACATTAAACAGCACTTATATTACTTCTTACAAATAACTTTTTGATCCGAGTTAATGCTACAGATAAAAATATCCAAATTATCTTGAACGGAATGATAATTGTTGCATAAACAAAATAAAGGTGAAAATTTAAGTAAATTGGTCCTTGGTGTTGGTAAATAGAAAGTGGCAGTGTGCCTAGTTGCAATTAAGGTAATATTAAAATTAAGTTGACTTAAAATAGAAGGGCAGTCAATCTTATTATGAATAATATTACGTAAGAATATAAGAGAATGCATTTGTCTTCTATCTTTTAGACTCAACATATTATGCCTAGTTAATAGTTGTTCATGTGGCGCTCCAATAACTGGGTAAATGCCATCAATCTTAAAGGATACGTACTTTAAAAATTTGCGTTGTATACTTTCTAAATTATTACTATATGTTTGATACCGAGGATTCTAGATTATACTAGCATATTCTATTTTAGACAGAACAAAAGAATTAAATAGTAAAAATAAAACGTCAGTGTCATTAAACCCTCGTGAATGCCTTATAACGAAACCAAGGTTTTTGTAACTAGAAAGTACAACAGCATTAATATGAAGATTAAAGCTCAGCTTTGAATCAAAAATAACTCCTAAGTCTTTAAATTCAGTTACTCTATTTAGAGACATATTATTGAGTGTATAATTGTAAATATACGGTTCGGTTCTTTTTGTGAAGGACAGAACGTTACACTTTTGCACATTCAGTGCCAAGTTATTTTTTACACACCAGTCATTAATTTTATTCAAATTTAATTGCAATTGAACGGAATCGCAGATAGAATTAATATCACAATAAATTTTCAAATCATCTGCATACAGAAGACAACTGACGTCAATCATATCTACAATGTCATTGATAAAAATAACGAAAAGAAGAGGCCCAAGTATGGAACCCTGTGGTACACCACATGTAGCAATGAATTCGCCAGACTTGAAACCACGGTATTCCACGTATTGGCGCCTGCACTGCAAGTATGATGAAAAAAGTTTAGACAGTTTATCTGAAAAACCAAACTGCTTAAGTTTATACAAAAGAATACCATGATCAAGACTGTCGAACGCCTTACTAAAATCTGTATAGATGACGTCAACTTGTCCACCAGAATCCACAGATTCGGAAATGTACTGTGTCAAGCAACAAAGATTAGTAGTGGTAGACCGACCCTGCATGAAACCATGCTGAAAGTCGCTAATCAACCCATGAGTGCTAGCATAAATTGCTTTATGCAGTAACATTTCAGAAGCCTTGGAAAAGTTAGAGATAATCGTGATAGGTCTATAAT